AGATAGAAAAACGACGATGTTGAATTTATTTCTTCTTTTTTTACGTATTCCTGCTTTCGTTCGTTCTTCATCACTTTTTTTTTCACCGATGAGGACATCAAATAATGCAACGACAGTTCTAATACTATATATATAATGTTGATTTTTTCTTCTCGTATACAACAAGTACCGATTAACTTTAAGAATTAAATGGCCATGAAGAAATAAATGCAAATTATTTTTTTTTAAAGAAAAAACTACTACTTAATTATTTAAATATATAACTTCATTTTTTTTTCTAATCATCTAGATGTTTTGAAATATATAATTACAATATTATCATCAGTTATTCAGACAATATTATAAAATTTCTTTTTGTAAGTCTTTCATATATATATATATATTATTTATCATTGGTTTTATTTGTCAAAAAGATATTATAGACATTTAAATATGACATCAAATACTGTGCCTATCTATCGACAGGGACGTAAATTTTATGTATCTACTGAAGAATATGCTCGTATACGTTCGGAAGATCGACGACAGCGTCGTACAGCTGTACAAAAATCTCAAAATTTACCAATATCGAAATATCAACAAACGTCTATGAGAATGCCTTCAGCATCTTTTTATAGTTCGATTCATCGAACCAATTCAAATCCATATGAACAGTTTTATGAAGTACTTAAAAAACCACATTTACCTGCTAATTCATTAATAAATGCTGTTAATCGATATGAACCAAATAGATTATCTCGTTCGATGTTAAGACGTTCTGATGATCAAAATAATTTATTAACAATTCCATTGACAGCGTCAAGAAAATCATCGTTAAGTAATATTCGTTCAAGTTCTTCCGATAAAATACTTGATCTACAAAGGATTTCATTACCAATATTTGATACTGATAACGAAGTCAAACAATCACTTTCAGATGAAATTGTACAACCATCAACATTATCACCACAACAATCACCAAGTGTATCGCATCGACCAATTTCAGATTATGGAATATCTCCTATAACAGCAATTTCTATGACACCTACTGATCAGACACATACTCAAACAAATGCATCAAAATTCATCAATTATTTAACTCGAATGAAACATTCGAGCTTAAATCCTTCATCACAACCATCATCACCAGCTATCTCCGGAACTGGGTCATTTCTTGAAACAGGTATCCAAGGTTCTGATCATGGTTATAGTGTACTTGGTTCATCATTTCGACGTGTTGGTACTGGTCTATCATCATTAGTAACTCGATCAGCATCTGACAACAATAAAAATAGGAATCTTCAGGATAATCTAACAAATGATCCATTGTCAGATGATAATAATTCATCTATACCATCATCAACAGTAATTCAACAACAACAACAAAAGATTGATTTAAATCCTTATCGACAATTAGAATCTATTGGTGGAACAGATGAAGATTCTGGTCAACAACGTGGTTTATGGACACGTTCAACACATCGTAGTCAATCAACTGATGGTTTAACAGAAAAGAAACGTGTTCGTTTTGCTGATATGGAAGGTTTGACATTAGAATTTCGATCTGATAAAAATCGAATATCATCATCAGTCAATAATCAATCATTAACAAGACGACCACATATAAAATATCCGAGTGATTTACGAGGACGACCACGACCTTTTTATAATACATTAAATCAAACAACAACAACAACAACAACAACTAAAACTAATGAAAGTAAACTTGCAACTGATGTATAATTCTCAATATATATATATATGTATGTGTGTGTGTGTCTATGCAAATGTTTTTTTTTAATAATTAGAATGAAAGGAAATCTTTTATTTATAAGAGTATTTTTAACTATAATACAACTTCTTTGTTTACGAAATTGAGAAAATATATAATAATAATAATAATCAGTTCAATTCTTTTTTCAGAACTTTGAAGAAGTTGTATCGTCATATTCGTATTTATTGGTTGATTGTCTTGTAGGTAATTGATATGATTCGTATGATCTTTGAGTAAAATTTGTCGATTGTACTCGTTTTCCTTTTGGTAATTCTGGAATAGGAAGTAATTCAGTAAACGGATTCGATGTTGAGGCTTGTAGTGTAGGTATTGTCACATTATAATTATTATATGTTTGATTCGAGTTATTGCGTTGATTTGTATCAATAACTATAAAAAATATTGTTTGATAGTTTATAGATCTTGTTAAAAATTCTCACAAATAGATGACTCACTATTTTTCAAAACATTTGATATTTGCACCTTTCGTTTCGTAGTAGGAAGTATTGCTGTAGTACTATCATCATCGTCGTCATCATCATCATCATCGGTAACATCTAAAAGTCCCGATTCTTTATTAATGGTAGGATTTGAATTAGACGCAGATATACGTCGGCTGCAGAGACATAATAAGAAACTCTATTTATAGAAAAAAAAAGTGAAATTTTTTTTACGAAAATGATAATACAATATTTACAATAAGTATAAGAAAAGTAACAGCAGCTAAACTAATGCTTGTTAAGAATAAAACAGTATATAACACTCGAGAAACACAGAAGTTGTTGCTAAATAAAGGAAAATCATCGGGACCTAATGAAGAAAACAAACATATGTAATCAAAATAATAAAGCAACTTACTTTTACAAACGTTAGTCATCTGTTTTTCAGGTACGTCGATCGAGTATTCACTGAGTACTTAAAAATATGATTCGTAAAATTTTTTCATAAAACTTTCATTAGCAATAACTTCATAAAAAACAGTAACAAATGGAATAATCAATAAAGTGTTATAACAACTCATAATACAACAAATTTCTCTCTTTAGAATAGAGAATAATGTCGTTCTTTACGAATACTTTTATCTCTAGTAAACAAAACGACATGCTTTGTTTTACTAACATACATTAAAACAATGAGACAAAAGACTCATCTTGAAGGTTAAACAACAATTGGACTTCGGTATATTTTTCATCTTTATTTCTTTCTTCTAGCGCATTATTATTGCATATTTATAAAACAAAAATAGTATGATCTTCTACATTCTTTTTTTTTATCAAAAAATAAAAGTCAGTTAATTTAATAGTTTCATTCATTAATAGAAAAAATTATAATAATTATTAGAATCAAAAATAATCGCTGGGAGGATTAGATAAATTCGTCTGTCCTTGTTTTTTCTCTTGATTATACTTAGATCGATCGTGAGATGATTGACGTTGTTTCATTTTAACCATATTATATTCAGGCTGTTTTTCCAATACATTTGCTTTTACACGACTAGATTTAGTTATTGTTGTTCGATTTAATGGAGTTGAATTATGACTAAATTTCTCTTTCACAGAAGTATTTTGTTGTCGATTAGGTGATGATATCGATGAATGTGCCGATTCTATAAAAACAATCAATAAATTAGAAAGAATAAGTTTACAGATCATACCAATTCTACTCGGTGATTTCTATAAAGAAAACATAATATTATAAAACAAAACGATAAATATTAGAGTTTTATTTTATACTACCATTTCGTGTTGTGGAATATTATAACTTTTTGTAATGGGACGTCCTTTTTTCGAAGTATATTTACGACTAAATAACATATACGATGCAGTTCCCTATTTTTTGTGAATATATTACAATTTGAAATTATTGTTTTAGAAAAAAAGTAAATATTTACGAGAACTCCAATAAATGATACAATACTTAGAATCAATGCAGTTATTATAACACTACCATTTTCAACAGGACTTATGCAGGTATTACCAAAAGGAAATGCACCAGGAAAGCAACCATTAGTATTACCGCTCGTAGTAGTTGTATCACTAACACTCTCGTTACCCGTAGTTATTTGCATAGTAGAAGTCGATTGTGTTGCAGTCATTGTTTCTGTAGTCGTTATTTCTGTCCTGGGCGTAGATAAACCAGTTGTGACAACTGTTGTTTCACTGCTAGTACTAGGGTTTGGATCAACTGAAGTACCTGTACTAGGTTCTGGATTATTTGTAGTACCGTTACTAGATTCTGGATTACTTGTAGTACCGTTACTAGCTTCTGGATCATCTGAAGTGCTAGTAAATGATATGTCTGGAGTACTATCACTCGTGTCCGTTGTGTTTGATGAATTAGCTGAAATTTCATCTGATAAAAAAATTGAATCATCTGAATTGGCATTTCTTAAACTTAAGAGGAAAATAACAAGAATCATACAAATCGGTAGATTGCACAGATTTCCATGAAAAACCTATTACAAAACATAAAAATTTAAGAAATACTTCAAATAATTTTACGGAACTACTAATTATCAATTAACATGCTTACCATTTTTTTTCGTTTTATAAGAAAAACAAAAGATTTCAGATATTATTTATGATTTATATCATTAACGTTAAAAGAGAACAACAGACAAAATATAAAATAAAAAAATGTCTACAATCATGATAGATAACATGAAAGTCTACATAGATGATATGTCATATTTACATACTTATACACGTAAATAAAAGAAGAGAATAAATGAAGAAAAAAAGATTAGAGTGGAATTATTATTTTTATTGTAAATATATCAATAAAATTACATTATAAAATTAAATGAGAAGATAAACAAAAATTCTCATTAACTAATATGAACTCTTCAGACAAAATAGAAGATAAATCTTTTACATTATCGATTTATATTGAAAACAAGCTATTGTTTTTGAAATTTTCTTGTTAGTTATATATGACCTTGCTGTATATATTTCATTATTTTAATTTATCTCCTATATTTTTATATAGTACATCAAAATTGTAATTATGATTTGTAAATGGTACTTTTTCCTATTGATATTAGTTCGTTGTCAACAGTATTGTAAAAAAAACATATTTTGTCGTCTGTGACATTTTTTTTTCGTTCTTCTGTCCCTTTTCTTTTTCTTTTCTATCTTCACATTTTTTTTCTCTGTTGTGCTTCATTGCACACGTGCATTATTCATCTATATATGACCGTACAAATGCAAGCAGGATCCATACAGACGACTAATAACTCAAGGTAATAATGCATCAACGCCGAAGTCAGGGCGATTCAAAATCAACAAGTAGCACTAGTGGTTCATTATCATCAATGTCTACAACAAATAATGCTTCGTCAACATCAACAACAGGTCGTGTTAGTATATATTCAATGCGTGAAAAAGTCATATTAAATAAAATGACAAAAATGATGGGAAAACTAGCACCGAATACTGAAACAGAAGTTACTAGTCGATTACATCAAGAAATACCAGCTATTCGACTTGATGGTCATCTTACTTATTGTTTATATAGTACTTTACAAAATATACTTCATTTAAGTGCAATTTATATTGTATTATATCATACAGTTTTTTGGCTTGATTCAAGTAATTTTAATAAAGAAATTTTAACATCATCTCGTATACTTGAACAAACAAAATATGAACATACACATTTTATAACACTTACAAATCGTTATTATGCTCGAACAGGAACATCAATTAATATAGATTTAATAGATAAATATATTTATGTAGGTTTACTTGGTATTAGTTTAGTTGAATTAATTAGTGCATTTTTTTTGGACATTTAAAAAAAAATTACCAGTTTTAGTACCACGAAATCAAAAACTGAGACAACGTACAAGTAGATTATTAAGTGTAATGATTGTTTTTGTTTATTTTGGATTTATTGCTTGGCTTATATTACATACATTTGTTAGACATCAATTATCTAAAACATTCTTTAGTTTAATTTTCGGACATTTAATTATTTTAACACTTCTTGATAAACCAAATTTATTTCAAAATTCATCTGATAATTCGTCCAAACAATCAACAGTATCGCGTAAACAAAATCGTAATTCAACATCATCATCATCAACTTCTTCCATAGCAACAAGTGTAATAGGTCGACCTTCATCTTATCGTTCATCAACGAATACACAACCTCGAAAAGTTAATCCAATCGTTACTACATCATCATCATCATCATCAACAGAAATACCATCTTCTCGATGGTCATCAATAACCGAACAAAAAATTGGTGTACATGAATGCTCTACATTTTATGAACAAGCTAGACAAGAAGCAAATGATTTATGGTCACTGTTTAATCGACGAATAATTCTGAATTTCTATCGAACATTAACTTCATTTATTTTATTTGATTTTATTCCAATCAAAATGATGGGTAAAATAAACTTAGAAAAATTCTTCATCTTATTGAGTATCTATTATCATCTCATTCTATATTATTTCAGGTAACAATGTTCGTTCAACAGATAATCAACCATTAAAGTTATTAATTCTTATATTTACTTTAAGTACATTTATCACTCATAGTGCGTTCTTATTTCCTGTTAAACTTCAAACCGCTCTTCATCGTATAGCAACACATCTTGGTCAATGGCGATCACAATCAAGTATTCGAACAGATACAATACATGAATGGTCATCCGAATGTAATTCCTATACACGTGGTAGTGTTGTAAAATTATCATCGAATAATCGATATTTTGTTGCTATGGAACATTTAAGTAATGCTGCACATCCACAATCAAAAGCACATGCAATTATCTATCGATTCTTTGGTGATGCAACATATTTTATAAATATTCAAATTGTTTTTTGTATTATTCTTACTATACTTCAATTTATATGGATTATACGTAGTAAATATTGGGAACAAATTTTAATAAGTTGGTTAATAACGTTCTATAGTTCATATCCAATATTTAAAATAACACGTGATAGAATTATACTAAATTTAGTTGAGTATCAAGACGATGTTCAAACAACAACAACATTAAAACAAAAAAGATCAAGTTGAAAAAAATAAACAAAGAGAAAAGAAAACAAATCTGACAATAAAAAATCTATCACACATTCATTGGATGTGGACATGTATACAATGGAGATATACCTGAAAATAAAGAGTTTTTATTTAATTAAGATATTTTTATTATTTTTTTTTGTATTACCTGAAAATGTAAAATCAGCTTCAGTCAATCGTGGACTATATTCATTATTGTATATAGTTGTTGTTGATTTTGAATGAAAACTTGCACTATTTGTAGATGATTCATTGGATAAGTCATCCAATAATTTTTTTGTATTTTTATTAAATAATGTTGTTAGTAAATGGTCTAAATAAAGTTTTCTCTTGTTATTAACAAAGTATTCGAATGCTGATCCTGAAATTATTGCTTTATTTGACTAACACTTAATTTACTATTTTATATTAATGAGATTCTGTATTGTCTGCGGTATAGTAATTGAAGATGGTTCAAATAAGGACAGACATGAGAATTAAAACAGAATAATATACCTGAAAATTAGTCATACTAAACCGTTGAAACGTATGAAAAAAGCGTGGTATATACTATCCTTGGAAGTACATAACGAAACTAATTTATTTACATTAACCATATAAAAATCTTAGCGATAGAATCGACATGAGGTCAATAAGTAGACGATAACATAAAAGGTTACAATTTATGATGAGAATCTAACTAACAATTTGTACTTAGAGAATAAGTCTAGTCTCACTTAGACATGACCCAAAACCAAGGGTGTGGGTACTGAGTTTGGGTTTAGTACCCAAACAGTTTGGGTTTGTGCTTTTTTAATCTGTAAAAGACACTATTTTCGATACATTGATGACAATTAAAAGAAGACCTAAACCCAAACTCAAACTCAAACTCATTAAACTAAACCCAAACTCTCAAACGGTTTGGTTTTGAGTTTGGGTCATATCTAGTCTCATTAAAGACAATTAGAAAAAACTAACCTGTTGATTCCATTTTAAATGATAATTGATCTGTATTGTTCAATGATGTATTACATGTTTTTAACGATCCAACTTCTTTAATAAGTTCATTAATAGAATAATGTTCATCAAAAACGATTGGAAGTTTTTTTTTATTTGAACTATTATGTTTCTTTCGAATATATCTTGCACGACAACAACAATAAATAGCAATAATAGAAAAAAGTATAATTAAAGTAAATGTACACAATATAATTACTACTAAAACCATTGAAGGATCTAAATTGAATAAAAGCAGAAAAAATAATTAGTAAGAAAAAGAAACCAAAAAAAATTTATCTTACCATTAGATCTTTCTAATTGATAAAGTCGACTATGTTCAATACCAAATTCATTTTCTGCTATACATGATAAACGATTAAGAGTTTGAGATGATGGAATTAATTTTCGATAATCATGAATTAATTTTGATATGCAAATATTTTCATCACATGTTGTTGATATAGATGATTGATCATTAGATTCAATAGATTGATCATTTAATTTCCATATTATACTCTATAAAGAAACAAAAATTTATCATACAACAACAACAAAAAAGATTCTTTTTTACAAGAATTGGACTGGATGAATAAACATGACATTCAAATAATCGTTTATGTTGTTTAGATTCTTGGATATAAATCAACGGTTTACCTATACAACGAAAAAAATATTTTTTTCAGAAACAAAAAAATTCGTTTCCTATACCTTTAATATAAATAATAAAATCATTTTGAATTGTATCAAAACCATCCGTTTCGATTTTATATGAATAAACTCCTTGTTGATCACGTTTAGTTATATTTTCAAGATTAAATAATGATCCTTCAGTTATAATTTCTCCATAACGATACCATATTATTTTTGAACGAGGATATGAATCAACTATACAACGAATTATAGTTGGATTTGATGATGATTTACTATTTAAATCTAAGACAACAATTTTTGGTGGACGAATAATAAATACTGGTGGATCTATTTAAAATTGAAATATTGAAAAAAACTCTATCTATTTATATTTTATTATTTACATCGAATTAATAAACGAATACTTGTATTTGTTACACCCACGGAATTTACAGCTGTACAACCAATTGAATGATTATGTACATTTTTTGATAGAGGAATATTTATTATTGAACTTGTCAATGAAGTTAAATCCATTGAATTAGCAAACCATCTAGAAAAAAAATAGATTTTCTTATTAGGAGAAATTTTTGTGAAAATATCTATTACCTTAATTTTGGTTCAGGGTTCCCATGAACAATACAACGGAATGTTGCAGTTGAATTTGCTGTTAATGGATAACGATTTTGAGATTCAATACGTGCTTTTGGTTTATCTAAATTAATGTATATATATATTACACTCTGCAAAAAAATGGGCGCTAGGACAGAACGTCGCAGCTCATTTTAGAATTCAAAACGAATTGCTAGTAAGTTTTTGATATTGGACAGTGTATATACACACACACTTTCGCCTTCACCGAACCATACGCCTGCGACATTCTGTCCGGTCACCGAAAAAATGCTCACTCACAATAAACATGTATCTTTGCTGTAACATCTAATTGAGAGTTTTGTTTTTCAATATTATAAATCTGTTCACATCGAATAAGTACATTATTCCAACTACTATCTGGATTATTAATTGTATAAATAAGTTTTGTCAAATTTTTATTTGTATCCGTATTTAATTCAAAAGAAAGTTTTGCTGATGATGATAATCCATCTATAATTTCATCATTTTTATATAGAATTAATAATGATGCTGGTTTTGATGGAGATGATAAACAAGTTATATTAGCTGATTGTTCTTGTTTTAATGGCATACTTGGTATTATTAATGTTGGTAAACCATTGGGTGGATCTAATAATAGACCAAAAAAGAGAATTAATGAACCTAAATAATCCTCAAGTATATTCTATACCAATAAGGGTCAATTGTACACGTTCTGAACGTGCTTCATTTGCATTCATTGTTCTCTGTACTTGACATTGAAATACTCCTTCATCTTTATTTGATACATGAATAATCGACAAATTATAATGATCTAAACAAAGAATAAATAAACTAATTCATTTATTTTTATTCAAGGATAAAATAATCTGTATATATTACATCATTCCATAATACACTTGTTATATAAAGAAACTCAAAACAAAATATAGATGACAATACAATAGATCGATAAGAAAAGAAGATGTCATAATTCTCTACTAGTAATTATAATCTATAGTTTAGTTTATATGATGAAAGCATTGAATGAAATTAATTTTTCTATACATACTATGACGTTCATTAACTGATAATCGAAATCTTGGATAGGCTTGATATTGATAAATACTTATTAAACCATCAATTGTTGTTTCATGATGAATTAATTGTGTTCGACCTAATGTACAAAAATCATTCCAACACCATGTTACAATAGCATTAGATTGTTTGGAAACAATACAAGGAAATTGTATTGTTTCACCTGAATATGCATTGATATGATTGGGTCCAACAAGAATTTTTTGATTAATTCTTTGAGCACCTACACTTACAAAAAAAAAAAAAAAATATATTCATAATAAAAAAATAATTTACTATTAGCAAATGTATGAACAATTGTATTTGTCGATGATAGTATAAGATATAGAACGATGGATAATGACAGTTGTAGATGATAAATGGCAATCATATTAAATAAACTAAAAGAAAAATCAGCGATGTATTTTGATTCCTATCAGTATATATCATCAAGGATTTCTAGTATGTTTATGAATATATCTACATATTTTCTTCTAATACAATCGTATTTCTACTATAGATTTATATATACATACATGCACACATACATATATATGTATCTCAAATAATGTCCTTCCGAAATATACACATATAGAAAAAGTAAGACAAGACAGAAACCTTGTTCATTTCGTATTGATTTAATCGAATTCCTTGATTGATTAACTATCAGGGGTAAGAAAAAAGAAATGAGAAAGATATAAATGATTTTTATTGATATGTGACGATTCATATTCTATGGGAGGACAATCAAAATTAAATGAAATATGACGATCATATGACTAGGACAAACGACATAGTGTAAATTGCCCTTGATTCACATTCATTTAATATGGTGATAACAGCTAACATGAGACTAGATACATATATATGTGTATTATCATTAACAATGACAATAGTGATGCAAATCTAGATGACTCTATAAAAAAACTTTACTTTTCAGAAGTAATATGAGTTATTCGTAATAAGAAGAAACTGATTGATACCTGATATTCAACTAATTAAGCAATAACTGTTGTTAAATAGTATTACACAAGATGCTCTAACACTTCTTTCATTAAGAAGAGTAGAAAGAGGAAAAAGTGACGAACATACAAATATATGCAATGAGCATCTTATTCAAACAGAATAATAAAGGCAATTAAGAGAGAGATTGGTAAGTTAATCTTTCTCACTCTCTCTCTCTCTCTCTCTCTCTCTTGCTTTCTGCGCATTGATTCAATGATTACCTCAATAAGTGTTAGTCTCCATCTTCATCTTAATAAGAGATAGACTCATACTATTGTTTACACACAGTTAGATTCGCCTGTCGTTGCTATAAACATATACAAAGATAACGTTAGATGAACATAGATAACATTGAGCATAGAACAGTATGAATATATAGAGGGTGAAACGTCCATAAAATAGTGTCATTTGTTATAGGCTGTAAGAGAAAGAAGCAGAAAGAAAAAGAAGGAAAAAAAAAGAAGAAAAAACTATTGCATGAGTGTGGTAGTACTAATTCCGAGAGTCACTCGTCACACTTCCTCGATGAACAGATGTGATCAACAAAAAAAAATTGAAAATCAAAGTCATAAAATGTGTCAGAAAAGCAATAGTCATTTCAATATATACGCCACTACGATGTTTATATTTTCAAACAACTATATTCACCAGACAACTGTCAATCTGCGTATCAAATAAAGAAGGAGAAGAAGAAAAAAAGAACGCTAATCACTTTT